TAAGGGTAATAACTATAACTACTGGGAGACTTGCATGAAATCCTATTTGTAAGGACAAGACCTCTGGGAGGTCGTCAGAGGTGCCGAAACTATAGTACCTTAGGAAGCTGGCGAAGCACTAAGAAAGTGGAACATTAAAGTTGACAATATTATGTATGTGTTGGAGATGACGGGAGAAGAAGATCTTGTAGACTATATGCAAGATGCCAAATCTCTAAGGGAGGCATGAGATACACTTGCCACTCTCTTCTCAAAGAAGAATAATATTGGATTCCAACTCCTTGAGAATTAGTTGATGACCTTGTAACAGAAGGATCTGACAATATTTCAAGCAAGTGCAATATTATGTTCAATTATTACTCAGTGAGATACTGGTTCTAAAGTGTCGGATGCAGGGATGCGAAGAATAATCATCCACAGTTTGAGACCGGAGTACCATGGGCTCGTTGCTGCTACACACAGCTAGCCAACTCAGGCAACAATATTAGAGTTGGAGAGTTTACTCACTACATAGGAGAAGTTAGCTATACAAATGGCTGGCGTTTTAGTAAGAAGTGAATATGAAGCATTGTTCAACAACAAGGAACCAAGCGAGAGAAACGAGTGGTATGTAAAAATTGACTCATATAAGCAGGCAACAAGCTCATATACCAGAAGAGCACATTAGAGTAAGGAGCAAAGTGATCGTCGAGCAAGGAGATTTGATGGTAGCTGCTACAACTATAGGAAGAAAGGTCACTTTGCTAGGTCACTTTGTTAGAGATTACCGCTATAAGAGAAGACTGGCAAAGGGCAATGCTGCAACATAGCGCAAATATCAAGACAATGCAAAAGAATGGGATGCCCAAGCATCCGTGGTCATCATTGAAGATGTATAGAAAGAAAGGTCACTTTGCCAAAGATTATCGCTATAAGACAAGACTGAAAGAGGGCAATGCTACAACATAGCGCAAATGTCAAGACGATGAAGAAGAATGGGATGCCCAAGCATCCATGGTCATCATTGAAGATGTATCAGTCCACGAAGACGAGGTTGTTGGTATTGGCACTAACCTCGATCATAGAGGAATCTGAGTCTACACTTGTAGCGATTTCAGATCGAGAAGAAATCAGCTATAGTAAAAATTGGATCATCAATTCTAGCAGTTACAACCAAACTTACACATTAATTTCGACAAAGAAGGTCGTAAGGTGTATTTTTATGGGGTATGACAATAAAAGGAAATGATGGAGATTTTGTAATCTCACAACCAAGACATGCTACACATCAAAAAATGTAGTGTTCGAAGCCTCATCTTGGTGGACTTCACAAGAAGTTGTACTTCCAAATACCAATGATTTATAGGATCGGTTACAAGAGAAGTTGGGCGAGACAAGTCAAGAAAAAGAGTCACATCTGTTAAAGAAGATAGAACTAAGTTATTCAACATCCATAATGGAAAAGAATGCATGGAGGACCGGTGTTCATCAAGAAACACCAGAAGAGGAGCGTCCCAGCCAAATAGAAGATATCTATGAAGAACAAATAGGACAGGTTCAAAGATTAACCAGACCAAGGAAAACAAATCCTAGGAATGCTAATGTCACAATTACAGAAGATGTGAAGGAGCCATCTACCTTCAAAGAAGCATACATGGGTGAATAATGGAGACAAGTAGTGAGAGAGAAAATCCAAGCATTGAAAAAGAAATTTGAATTCTTGAACTCATGGATAGAGAAGTCGCTGCCGAGAGGGAGTGTTAAAATCAGCAGCACTATGTCACCAACCTCACATAGTCCATCTACCGCCAAATAGTTTCTACCAACTCCCTGTAGCGTTCACCAACCGGTGTAGGGGGTCTTTATAAGCCATGATAGCTTGTTGTAATCATCTCATCCTAATATCAACAAGCCAAAGAGCAAGAATAAAGAGGGAGTGAAAGAAATAAAGAGAGGGAGAGGGAACAAGAGAAAGAGCAGTGTGTCGTAAAATAGCAT